ATCTTATGATGAAACAATTGATACATTATTTTATCAGGTGTCAGCTACTGCTGATGGACGTACAGAAAGGCAAGATATCCATGAAGTCTGCAGTGACAATGCAGCCCGCTCGACGGTGCAAACAAGCATTGGTGGTGATGGCGCTGGTAGCAGCCATACTAATGGTATCCATAACAACAGTGATCACACAAATGTTGTGTCTCTCAGTGAAGCTCAAGTCACTCCAAAAGACAAAGATGACATCAAAGGTGGATGTATTGCATCAGAGAATGATATGCAATCTACATCAAATGCTCCATCTGGTGACCATGGCAATAATGACAGCCAAGATGACGTAGCAGCTGAAGATTATAAAATCAGCAGCTCATCAGTTGCTGGTTTCAACAGTGCTGATAAAAATAACAACCAAGATGGCTTGACAGATAAAGAAGTTGATATGATCAACACTTCATCAAGTCTGGTCACCAGTGTCCATGACAACAATGACGCACAAGATGACATAACAGACAAGGAAGTTGGTAAGAGCAACACTTCATTCAAAGCCGTGGTCACAGGTGTCCATGGCAACAATGACAGACAAGATAAAGTGTCAGATAAGGAAGTTGGTAAGATCAACACTTCATCAAAAGGCAGTGTTGCCAGTTTCCATGACAATAATTCCGCCGTTGACCTACCAAATAGAGAAGATTACAAGAGCAACAGTTCATCAAAACAAGATGGCCTTAGTGTCCATGGCGACAAAGATGACCTTAGTGAATTCATTTCATCCTTGCATCGTGATCCTGTCATTTCAATTGAAGTCAATGACATTGACCTTTCTTCAAGTGACGATGAGCTTACTCTATGCAGTTCAACCTGTACACTCGTCAGCGAGACCGCTGACCGACTTGCAGACCTTTTAAGCTCCAGCAGCCATAGTAGCATCGCCTCACATGACTCAATGGGTGATGCTGATGTTGATGAACTCAATCTCAATTACTGGGGCAAGTTGTTGGCATCCATTGCTGAGCGTTTGTCAATTAAATCACTAAGATATGGAAAGATAAGGATACTCTACAAAGATCCAAATGCTGACAAACCTGCTGTCGACGTCACCCCTTGGGGTGTTGCTCTTGTCCATGCTGCAAAGGAGTATATTGAAACTGGATTCCTGGAAAGGAGGATGGTACTACCTCCTTGGGACACCATGTATGACCAGGTAGAGAAACATCTATTGGATAACGATACACTGGACATAAAAACAGAACAAGACGCCACTGGTCAATTGAACCAATCTAGTGTAGACACTGAGTGGGCTATGGAAATACCACAGGGATCCCAAATCATCATTGGTGCTGGTTTTACCGCTGGCCTATGTTTTCTCTGCTGGCGGCTCTTCAAAGCTTGATGTTACCATTTGAACATTTAAGTTGACTGGTTTCTTCCTTTTACATGTAACTGGCTTAATCTTTGAAAGATTTTGAATGATACTACTTTCAGATATTGACTTTTCCTGCCTATTTAACAATAATTTTGTTATAATCTAAATGATTTTCTTTAGTTTATACTGAGAAAATACAACTTGTAGTTTTTCATTGGCATTTGATGATACATTTTAAATATATCAGACATGGTTTGTGTGTGTTGAATAATGTTTGCTTTTAGAGCGGATTTCGTATGAGTGGGACACGGTTACCGCACAGTTACCGGACCTGGCCTGCACAATTTTGGTGAACCAATGAGACACTAGAATTTGGTTACAGTACGATTACAGTCACAGTACAGTACCGTCCGTTTCCCACTCATACGAAATCCGCCTTATGTTTATCTGTTGATCTTATTGGAACTCTTGACGAGGGATGGGGTTGGGGTTATGTTTCGAATCAAGAGGTTTGACTTATAGAGCAGGTATCCTGGCAGGTAGCTTTGGAAACAACTCATGGTTCACGGCTTATTTTGATGGACTGTTTTACTATACAGAAGAATAGGAAGAACTAAACAATGACAAACATTTATTGGAGTAAACATAAAAAGTACAGAAGAGTTGCTAAGTTATGCTAATTTCTCTATTATATATCCTATTTTCTAATTAATACTAATAAGTCAGGTACGACAGAGCAGTTATGTTTTTAAAGTTCCAATCATCAGCAACCTTATCTTGGGCTAAAAATTTACTATAACCTCTATTTCACTACAAATTTGCTCGGCTTATATGTGCTACAATCGGACAGTGTTTGGGGTTTCGTTGAGAATGTAAAAATTACTTGACTCTAATTTGCAGCCAATTCTTTGTTTTATGGTACGAGACTGTTTTGGAAATGGTTTTGTTTTGGTAGTTTTTTTGCTGGTTTTAGACACTTTGTTAAAGGCGTGTCCCTGGCTGATGGCACCACATATAGCACTCAAAATATACAAATATATCTTCCGATGAAATTGTTTCTAATTATAACGTGGTTAGATCGTTTTGACTTTCAGCAAAACTAATAGTCTCCTTCACAGTTCCCTGCGCCATCTTGAAAGGTAGCCGTGCCTTTGCATCGAAGCGAGACAACCGTTGAGCGTGCAATGATAGAAACCTTCTTTCACACCTATAGACAATTATTCACAGGTTTCTATCATTGCACGCTCAACGGTTGTCTCGCTTCGATGTAAAGGCACGGCTACCTTTCAAGATGGCACAGGTATCCGTGAAGGAGACTATTGTCTTCCAATCTAATTCACTAATTTGTAACGACAAATGAAATTATGGTATTTGCTGGGCTGTGCATGCAAGGATATCTAAGCCTTCCACGTTTTCTAGTCGTCGCCAATCTTTTCTATACTAAACGCGTCAATATATGCCTAGTCTTGACAAGTCGTTTGTTTTACTTGACTTAACACTTGTATTGTTTTTTTGTTTTTTTTTTAAAGGACAAAAGTTGTTTAAACTACGTCAGCCTAGTGCTGCGTAACAAGACCGACAGTTTATAACGCTAACAATTCCTGAAAACTGATTTACTATTTCTGGATGTTTTTGTCAGTGTCTGTGAGAGACGGCCAAGCTGTCGCTGTAATCTCTTCTTGATAGATCAAATTATCTCCATACTTATACGAATGCAATTAATTTGTTTGGTTTTGATCATCTTCTCCGAAGTACCCTGGAAAAAAGTAAAACTTCTTCCTTAGGGTAGTCTGGGGTGCAGGAACTTGCTTGTATTCACTCATTGATAGTCTTCGAGACACTTCGTAATTCACAAATGTCAATAGGCTAAGAATATCTTCTTCCCAAGCATGCTTGGAAAACACATCAACCAAGGCATTGATGAAGAAGGAACCAGTTACAGTATTTCGAAAAGAGGCAAAGCCTTGCAAGGTTGAATAGGCAATAAGCGTATCTGATTGTTCTTCTCGCAAGGTAACATCGAATGGAGCTCTTGCTAATACGCCGTCCACTTGGTCAGGGTGTTGCACTGTGGGTAAATCGTCCTCGATGGAATTATAATCCAGTCTGGTTGGCGACATAAATCTACTACCACGACAAGCTTGTAAGAAAATGAGCTTCGGTTTTCCTTGCAGCCTCTCAGTTTGCATTGTACCAACCATTTCATCGACTGTTATTATATCCCCATTAGTGAGATACATTCCTTCCTCGCCCCCATGAGACATTACTGTCAAAATTGCGGAGTCACCATGTGCGTATTCTTCAAACACAGTCCTCAGCACTTCCCGGAATAAACCCTTATTGCAGACGATTTCCTGACCGATAATTTTGACTTGATAACCAATACCGTCAAATAATTTCTCTAACCTCTCTACGTCGACTTCAGAGCCATAGCGGTCTGGAACGAACATATTGGCATATTGCGAAATATTGATAATCAGAGCTACACCTTTAGGATGTGATGTCATTTTGTAGATCATTTCGCCTTTCTTTCTAATATTTTCGACATGTTGAGGAGCTCTTTCTGGCGAGTACTTGATGACGAAAACATCTCGATCTGATAATACCTTTGTATAAATGATATCCTTTAGTTTAGATTTTGTATCCTCATCCATTTTTTTGAGCATTACTTCGTTAATTGTAATTCTCTTTAGATTCCCTGGTTTTTCAGTTAGCGAATTAAAATCAAGAGAGTTATTTTCTCGTACATTCAATTCTGCAAGCTCCTCCATTTCTATGAGATGTTCCACGCCTTCGGTAATATTGTTATGGGAAACGTCCAAAGCACGCAATGATGTCAGTTGGTGAATTTCAGGAGGAATACAATTGATATTGTTGTATGATAGATCTAATGTTTCTAGAGAATCCATATTCAAAATAGCGACCGGAATGGTAGTCAAGCCACAGCTTACCAGAGATAATGATCTTAAATGTAGCTTTGACCAGTCATTTGGATCCAAATCATCTTTCACATGGCAGTTATTTAGTTTTAGGAAATCGAGATCTGTCATTTGGAATACAGTTTTGGGGATGCCACTTAGGTTGGCTAGCTTCAATGCTCTTCCACCGTCTTCTGTCATTTTCTTTAGCTTTTCTACAGGCCATTTAATCATCAATATATATTGCTTTATTACCTTTTCATTCTTTTGAGATAAAAAGATACTGAATCTTTGCAAATACAACGTATTGCAGTGATTGAGTAGATGAAGCAAAAAGGCAAGGTTTCCCGTTGCAGGGTCAGTTGGACTAAGTAGCTTGAGCAGACCCAAGTCTTCGTGTCTTTTTCTGTTGTTTTCTTCGTTACCGGAGTCGTTAGATCTCCCTTCGTTAACACTACGTTCAGACGCAAAGTCGTATTTTTCGCTTTTTTTATAAACAAAAAGCAAAACCCAAATGCAAATAAAAACAGACATAAAGCAGTATGCTGCTGACAGCACACAAGAGAAAATGTTCAGATTTCGAAAAAAAGGAACAAGAAAATCCGTGCATTTAAAATGTTTATAGTCTCCACTTATGGTGTCATCGATTGTACATTTTGCATTAACTTTAAATGTGCTGCTGTGGTGGACTAGATAAGCAAATATTGAGCAAGATATTATGGATTGTATTATCGCTTGAGCAAGGTATATGTAATACAAGTGCTGATTCTTCTCAGCTGCTATTTGGAATTGGCCAACTTTTTCATAAAGTGCCTCGGCTTTGATAGCTTCATCTTCAGAGAGAGTGGGTGATGGAGCAAGTGAATGGAGTGAACCGCCATCTGCAGACTGAGAGGTTTTTTTTAAAAGTGGTTGCTTGTCGTGATTTCCTTGTTCTGGATCTTCATCGCCGTCTAGTTTGTCTATTTTATGACCATGGTCAGTATTTTTAGGTATTATTGCATGCCAGAGAACTTTCCAAAGAGATAAAGAAGTCCCAGAAGTATTATAGCATTCGATAACCAATGATAAGAAGTGATCTACCAGTGCGGATGGCTCTGGTAACGTTAACAAGATATTATCAACGACTATTAGAGCAATTGCCTGAATGAAAATTATAAATGGGAAGTACGAAACAAAGTCGTGAAACACAATGCGACCACACTCTATCTCAACAAAATCATATAATCGTCTGTCTGGCAATTTCAGCAGCAGTGTCGTCTTGTTATCTAAAAATAAGAATTATATATATATTAAGAAGATATAGACATTGTGTACTAAAAACAACATACAACTATGGTGAAGATGATTTCTATACTTGCCTTTACAAGAGTTGTTTGTTTTTGAAGCAGGTAGACTATGATTAAAACTAGTACAGTTTTTAGTAGGGACGCAGACCAGATTTCTCTGTGTAGCTTGCATTGTCCCTGCTAGGACGGCAATTACCAACAAGGCTATAGCGAAATAGCCAGTTAACACGGCCCACCAAGGCTTGATGAGTTTATACTTTGGGTTTGCTTCCTGGAAACGACTCAGCGGGTCAACGGGAAACATCGTGCATTCGCCAGAATCTATTAATGAGAGAAAAGTGGTGATCAGTCAAATAGACCCCTGAGATAGACCTGATACAAAATCGGTGATCCCTAAAAGACTAAAGAATTTGTGTCCCTTGGAAGCTGCAATATATATATATATCTCCTCGGGTTTTGGCTTCTGGGGGAAAAACTCCAATTTGACTCAAAATTGCTAATTGTGAGCAATAGGAGAAACTTAACCTTTCGCTTCTACAAGCTCTGAGCATCGTTATAAATCGCGACCAATTAGAAGAGAGGAGAGATGGTTGGATGTTGGACGGAAATCGCGCATGCTCGAGTTTCCTAACCAATCAGCATCGAGCCTCAAACGGCTGACACCAGAGCAAACAAAGAGAGAGAGAAACGACCGACCGAGGAGCTCTGGGGACGAGAATGAGATAATTCGCCACAAGCGGAAGGAGATTTGAATTTAGCTTCGGCTGAACACGACACAAAAATGTTTGCATCATTCACTACTAATTGCATCCAATTTTAACAGAGTCACGTGATTAAGAAATATAAAACGGCGCGCGTGTCTCTGTCCTCTGATATAAACACGGTGGGAGTTCGAAAAGCACGAGAGAAGCAAGCTTAGGAACACGAGCGTAGCCGTTTTATATTTCTTTTATAAAATTTTTCGAGCGAAAAGAAAATTTTGCCGTTAAGCCGTGTCTCTGTCCTCTGATATAAACACGGTCGTCAGCCAATCAGAGCGCGCTTTATATATCAAAAATTTTATAAAAGTTGATAAAGACACGAGTGAAAAGATTATGATGTTATATTCTGTCTAATCATATGATTATATTATGAATGTAAATTATGATGTAGAATATATGTTTTTACTTCTTATGCACAGTGAAAGCAAGAATGTATTACTTTCACTTTAATGTACTGTTCAAAACCGTTTATTCACACTATACGATATTCTTTTTGACTGCTCTCTGCAACGACTTCTGAGATATCTAATACGTTTTTAATTCAAATTGTTGACCTCTTAGGCCAAAAAAATTTTAATTCAAATCTTTTATTAAAAAAAAACTAGACGCTTTGGGAGCGTGAAGTCGGACTAGCTGCTTGTGAAAATTGAGAAAGACAGGATATTACATGGATAAAAATATTTYTTAACTTTTTTTTCCAAAACAGYCGAACTCACGGTCTAATAAGAGCGTCTAGTTCAAAATATGCAAAATTTATTGAGACTTTAAATAAACTTGACCTAAAAGGTCATGTAATTAACGCGATAAGAACGTGGCTTGCTTTGACTGATAAAATCAACCGCTCAGACAAATGTCTCGCTAAGTGATATGATATCTGAAACGTTGACCTCTCAGGCAAAGAAAATAAAAACTTTACAAGGAAAAAGATGCCTATAAAATCATTAAATTCGCCTTTCTGTTATTGATAAACAAAGTTTCTTCTTGTTCTAATTTGAAATCTTTGCCCCCACAAGACTGTCTAACACTAGAAAGGATATTGATTCCGTTTTGTAAGCATACAGCAACTCGAAGCTCTATTCGATATGCACATGCGCGTACTTCTAATGCCTAGACAGATGCATTCCGATGAGATCACAGATACCACATTTGTGAACGAATAGTTTTTTTGTCATATAAAAGCCAAGTAGCATATAACATTTACTAACGATATTCGTACATCAATACGCTTGAGCTTCCGGTCTACAAATGTAATAACACAGCCAACCCAAATAGTTACTTATTAAATTCTTAACTTCCGGTGGTCCAAACGCGACATAATACATAGATAGATAGACTAAAAGGTAAATTTAAAGTCGGACCGCCTTCGGCTAGTCCGACTAAATATGCCTATAAAATAATCAAAGTCGCTTTTTTTGTTATTGATAAACAAAGTTTCTTCTTGTTCTAATTTGAAATCTTTGCCCAAACAAGACTGTCTAGCGCTAGAATTCAGTTTTGTAAGATACTACTCGAAGCTCCATGCGACCCGCACATGCGCGTACTTCTGATGTCTAGACTGATGCATTCCGATGAGATCACAGATACCACATTTGTAAACGAATAGTTTTTTTTATCACATAAAAGTGCAAGTAGAATCTAACATTTACTAATGATATTCTTACATCCATACGTTAGAGCTTCCGGTCATGTGATAACACAGGTAACACAAAACGCGACATGATACATAGATAGATTGGCTAAAAGGTAAAACTTAAGTCGACCTATAGCCTTCGGGTAGTCCGACTAATGAAAGACTCGTGGGTAATTTATATCTTTGTGACGCGCTTGGAGCAATCTTACTCGTGTTCGTCTTCCGGTAGCGTGCTCGATCACGTGAAAACTTAACCAAAACTCTGCATGAAACATCGTCATTCAAGTGAAACCCAGACCACAGGGGGCCCAGGCTCAACAGTTGTGTTGCTTTCATGGCGGTGTCAAAGTATTAATCGCGTGGTTCGCGGTTCGAGCCCTCATGAAGCCGTAAAATTTTTTCTACTTCATTTCTTGAGACTTTTGGCTTTAAAAATCAACCTTTATTCATAAAACTGTTTATAAAACTGTTTATACTAATTAAAGAAAAAAGAAAAGAAAGAGAAAGTCTTGAAAAGTCTCAAGAAATGAAGTAGAAAAAAATTTACGGCTTCATTAGGGCTCGAACCGCGAACCCCGCAATTAACAAATACTTTGACACCGCCGTGAAAGCAACACAACTGTTGAGCCTGGGCCCCCTGTGCCCAGACTGGACCGCTCAATCGAGCCTCAAATTCCGAGTATAGCGTAAACAACAATATTTGGTCTAATTACATTTAGATGTTTAAAAAAAATGCTTGAATGCTATATGAACTCCAATGTTGCGATTAAAACACAAATACACAAACAGTTCGCGATCGACAATGAATGACTCATCGTATTTAAAAAAAGTCATTACCCTTCAAATATTCGATTAATTCTATAATTATTTTCCACGAAATTTCAGAAGAGTTCATATCAAGTTTCCCGGAATTACTTTGGTTGATATTTGTGCGTCACGTAACTACACTATCATATCATAAACTGAAATGTATTCTTACAGTTAAAAAAATGGATTCTTACAGTAAATAACTATTAGTCAAATTAAGACCCAAACACTGTTGAGCAATCGTGATGATGGAATGGAGAGRAGTTAGAGTGACCCGGAAGTCACACCAAAGACAAGTAACAAAAAAATGGAAAGACCACGTGATTTGATTTCAATGTCACGGTGAAACCACATGAATGAAAACCACGAATTTGGACATAAATTCTTCACTAATTCCTTAAAAAAAACTGCGAAAGTAAATCAACACCGAGTAAATATTTCACTGAATCTTTTTAAAGAGTTGGCTGGGGGCTGGGGGCTGGATACTCGATCTAGAACACGTGGTTCTATAGCTCGATTGCGGAATAAGAACCGGTTGTTCGACTGACTACGCCAGGATGCAGTATACCAAGAGCTACCCTAAAAACACATGATTCAAGTTTTTACCTTCAAAAGCAATGGATTCTCACGTTGCCTCTTTATCAAGCTCGTAGTTTCCCTTTAACAGCTCTTCCACGAATTGAAGCAAGCCAGACAATGTGACATTCAGTCGGAGTCTAAACATAGATGATTACGTAGTATACCCATACCAAATGTAACCAAAATTCCACAGGTAACCCAAACTATGAATTGCGCATTGTTACTTATGTACATGAATAGTATTAGCCATTCCGGAGTTTCGCAGGCCTTTCATGGGGTGGGGTTTGTTTCGTGATTAGATCAATATTTCTTTGATTAGTGCCCAGTTCGGTGCTGGTTTTACCGCTGGTTTATGTTTTCTCTGCTGGCAGCTCTTCAAAACTTAAAATTACCTTTTGAACATTGAAGTCTTTTGTCTGTCTCCTATTTTTATATGATAATTTTGAATACTGCAATATGTTAAGATATTGAATTATGCTGAATTCATGTTTTAGTATTTCATCAATATGTTCAATGATGGGATGTATGAATGCTTTTCTTTAGTTTAAACTCTGGGACAGCTCATAGTGAATTGGGTTTCTGAGAAAAATACAACTTTTACATGGTGAAAAACAATAAATATATCAGACATAGGATTGTTAATTGTATTTATGTGAACTGATGTTTGTTTTTATCAAAGTTAATTAGGGGTTTTAGGTATGAAATGCTCTGGAGCACTTTTCAAAACCTTTGACGTGGTCAACCTCGTCCCATGGGACTTCTCTACTCGCAAAATGGCGGGCGCTCGTGCATTTTGAAAAAAAGAGCGAGCCGAGAGACATTGGGGACGAGGTTGCGACGTGGTATATGTTGCTC